AAACATTTTCTATAAATCTCTTAGATGCAGTCAATTTCATTCATAGAGCTTGGCAAAAAGTTAGCCGAAAAACCATTGCAAATTGCTTTAAGCATCGGGGATTTGTAAGAAAAGAAAATGATTATGAACCAGACGATGAAATTCCACTTAACGAATGGTTAGAAGTATAAAGACTCTGACTACGAGTATGACACAGACGAAGATGTCCCAATGTTGTCGAAGAACAAGTTAAAACCAAATTGAGTGATTTCAATTGTTTCGAATATGTGAGCATTGATAATGGCATTCTTACAAGAGAAATGTTGACCGATGAGCAAATTATAGACTCCGTAACCGCATCTACAGCTTTAAGCGATAATGAGAAAGATGACGATTTAGGTGAAACGTATTCTACTGTAGATACTAATGTTGTTCCAACCATTTCTGAAATGACAAAAGAAGTGTCAGAATCTCGGAATTTTCTACAATCCCGTCAAGTTCCTAATCATATCTGGGAGTCCTTTTGTGATCTTGAAAACTACATAAATAACATATATCTTTTTAGTCATACCTACTAACTTCTACTACTCTATGTAAAAATAACGAAATAAAATACACCACGTGTTTTTGTATTATTATTCGCTTATAGCGAACTCCGGATATAATGAACCAGTTTTAGTTCATTTTTCAAGTTCGTTATATCCGGACTCAACTGTATTTGTATACCGGCATACAAATGTATTTTTAGACAATAAAGGCAAACAATTTTTTTCAGGACTGTCCGTTTATCGTTTGTATGACATACGCTTTTCACACTCCGGACAAGCTTTGTTTTATCTTGGACTTAATGAATGGCGGCGATCTGCATTACCACCTGAGTCAGCATGGAGTCTTCGCCGAACAGGAGATGCGTTTCTATGCTTCCGAGGTATGAGTTTTTTTTATTGATCACTTTGCTACGAATAGGCTCTTAATTTAACCGAATGTTCAGTGAAGCCTAATGGGTAATGAAATAGCGCGGGGAATTTTTTCGCGAAATAATTAATCGGGGATACCTGCCAGTTCCATAAGCTTGGAATATTCAACCAGAAAAACAAATATTACCAAGCAAATCATGCGTTTGTTTTGAGGGCATTTCATGAAAATTTCAGGTAATATTAGGCCTAGAACATATGCACCGCAGATACATCGTGTACAGAGATCTGAAGCCTGCTAACATCCTTTTGGACGAGCACGGACATGTGCGGATTTCCGATTTGGGACTTGCCTGTGATTTCAGCAAAAAGAAACCCCATGCCAGTGTGGGCACTCATGGGTATATGGCGCCCGAGGTCTTATCTAAGGTAATGACAATTTTAACTGACAAAAAATAAAAGCCCACCAAATAGAAACTATTGATAAACAAGATTAGATTGCAGTATCTATTTTCAATGATTAAATATTTGTTTGTTGTTGTCTATTGGATCTATTCCAACTGTAACAATAACAAAATGATAATATTTATATTGAAACCAACAGGCAATGCATAATTTATAGTCTATCGAAATAAATATATATTTTTTCATGTGAAATTAATTGAAGAATTCATTCAATACTCTAACAGAGACTTTCGTTCTTGAATTATTTCGAGTATCGCTTAGTCAGGTAATATTTGTCCAATGTAATCACCCCCAACGGTTAAGATATGCACATCTTTATTAATATCTGTTTTCTAGGGCACCCCATATGACTCATCAGCAGACTGGTTTAGCTTCGGTTGCATGCTGTATAAATTGCTCAAAGGTAAAGTTAACCGTCGCTTAAAATGTAGGGCACTAAAGTTTCGACTTTATTTACTTTCACTCGAACTAAGTGACATCGAAATTAATTACATTCATTTTTATCTCTCTTAACACAGGACACTCGCCATTTCGCCAGCACAAAACAAAAGACAAACATGAAATTGATAGGATGACTCTTACAATGAACGTCGAGCTTCCGGATTCGTTTTCGAGAGACCTCAAGTCATTGTTAGAAGGCCTATTACAGAGGGATGTGGATAAAAGGTGAGCAACGTTTTATGACTGGAACTTTTTTTTGTATACAGATTAAATCTGGAATTTGGGAAAGCAGAAAAAAAAAGAAATATCATGTACTTCACCTTTCTCAGCACAAAGTAATTATATCCGACCGCTCTGAAAGCTCTGAAAGAGTCGAATTTAATTTATTATTAACAATTTAAATTTTTTATAGGTTGGGCTGTAGAGGCGCAGGTTCAGATGAAGTAAAGGCACATTCGTTCTTCAGCGGCCTAGATTGGAGCCAAGTGTACAATCAAAAATACACCCCACCTTTAGTACCACCTAGAGGGGAAGTTAATGCTGCGGACGCCTTTGACATTGGTTCCTTTGATGAAGAAGACACCAAAGGAATTAAAGTGAGTAATCAAGATCACAGTGTGTTACAAGTTTAACCCTTCTCTATTCTAATAATGCATCAAGACATTTATTATATTTTTCGATTTATTTATGAAAAATTGTGCAACTAGAAAAGGGCATAGTAACGAGCAAAGCAACGGCCCGCTGAATTTACATATGTATTTTTATTTTTTACAGTTGACTGATGCGGACCAAGAGCTTTATAAGAATTTTCCGCTAGTCATTTCCGAACGATGGCAAAATGAAGTTGCCGAAACTGTATTTGAATCTGTCAATCAAGAAGCCGATAAGAATGAGCGTAAAAAGACGAAGCAAAAGAAACCTTATGATGATGAAAAAGGTATGTTTTTCTTGCCATTTAAATATTTTCTTTGTCTGGAGTAGCAGCTAAATCGAAAGCTGTTTAAGTTGAGTACTTCACAACCAGACATTTCTATAAATCCTTTAATTTTCAGAGTCAGATTGTATTCTTCACGGCTACATTAAAAGGTTGGGAGGACCGTGGTCAGCTTCCTGGCAATTGCGTTATGCCAAATTGTATCCAAATAGGTGAATAAAAGTGTGATCATCTAGATCCGGCCGTAATTAAACCCCAACTAATTTTCAGATTAGAATTGTATCCGGAAGGGTCTCGCCCTGAAATGATTTTAATGGATCAAATAGAAGAAGTAGCATCCGAATTACAAAGTGTCAAAAATGAAAGTTGTATAGTATTAAGAATGCACGCGCTAAAGGTATGTATGTGCGAAAAACTAACTGGCAAATAAAATATTTTTTGCAACAAATATTCTCGTAAAAATACGTTTCAATTGGGCATTTTAGGATGGGAAAAAAGACAAGGTTACCCTAACCAATCCGGACGAGATTGGATTGAAAGAGTGGCTTCAGTCGCTAAGAGCCACTCACAAAAAGAGCCAAGAATTGCTGGCGTCAATGACCGGCAAGGTTGGTAAAATCTACGGTACCGACAGCAACAATAAGAACAACCAGGCTATTATCCAACCCAAAAGTGCCAACGGGAACTGAGACTCGCTTGTTTATAGGTAAGCCAGCACACTAGTCGTGTTTAAGGTGAATTCCATGTTATCCATCACCATCTTAAAGTTGAATCGCAAAAACATATAATGACAATAAGTGTGAATTTTATGTTTTTAGTGATTTACAGATAGCCATAAGAATCGTCGTCAAAGATACTCAATCTTCTTTAAAGATGAGATGAGTACAGTTTCAGTGGCATCACGGAAACATGACGGAAATGGGGAAAGAGGGGCCATTGAACGCAAGTGAATCTAACTCTGATCAGTATTGTCTAGAATTCACAGAGTTTTGCTGTTTTTCTTTAATCATCTCACGTTATCTATACTGGTTGTCAATGGAGTAATTTGACTGGTTTATCTAACCAAGTTTGCAAGACTGCCAAGTTTAGTTCAACTTTTATAGTGTGGCCTATAGCTGACAATATATGTTCTGTAGAAAATTGTAAATGTGCATTGTATTTTAACAAATATACGACAATCTGCAGCGCACAATTCAGATTCCTGTTGAGAGAGTGCGAATACTCCATAGATACGGTACAGATAGCCACATTTGGAAACGCAACTTTGGTCATTAAGTAATTTGAATTTAATTTACTGATATTTTTTTCATTAAACAAACGTCAGCTCACTTCTTGAATGTGCATTACAGCTTAATTATCAAAAGATAGATTTTGCTAAGTTTCACATCGCCTATACAGTGTGTTACAACTTCGAGGTGTTCGCATGGGGATCTAGTAAACCGTAAGAGCGAAGTGGTTTAAATTAGGGCTATCTAGAAAATTCTGGGACTTAAGACTTCAATTTTTTCTGAGCTAATAATAGAATAATAATAGATCTTTTAAAATAATTGTCACATTATTGAGACAATTTATAAACTGCTCTTTAAATGGAGCTGCGCCTTGCGGTGCGAATTATTTGCCCCTAATATGAGTAATTGTAGGACTCATTTTTTATTGCACTCCCAGAAAAGAAAAATAGCAAGAGTTCATTACTAAGAAAATTTTGGGTATTTCCTTAACATTATAATATTATTAATTACGTGCGTCCTATTAGGTCGTACTATAAAACTTCCTAACAACAATTACTTGTAGATCAGACAACCCTGATTTAAAATGTACTCGGAAATTTCAAATTTCTGAAACACCATTTTGTTCAGCACTAAAATGTACCCAATTTTTCGTGTCACTTATAACTAAGTATAAGTAACTCTTGTAAACTTACAAGATCCCAATGCTAACCCATCGAATTTGTAATATCCTGTATGCAAATTTCTGCAATGACCTGGCTGATAGTCTGATAGTCTGAACAGTCATACATTCATTCTACTAAACCCAAAAGAAACATACATAGTTATAATTTTTAATCGTAAGTTCCTTCCCCTCCAGAAAAACTGTAGAATAGAATACGCGAGAATGCCTGTCCTTATTTCATGACAATTTTGTCAGTATTTGTATTGTAAAATTGTAACAAGGAGGGTAGTATGAGATCACCTTTTTAGAAAAATAAACCTAATTAGCTCGATAATTACAGGGCAAAATTACAAGAATATATTGTAATTCATTAAAAATAGCTAGATTCTTATTGGCTGTACCCTTATGGAAAATTGGACTGAGGATTGACTTAGTTCAAAACGATAGACAATATTAATTGGGAATGGTTGGGCGTGAATGTTAATCTGAGTGCCAATAATATGTGGTCATGTCCAACGTTAAAAAGGGTAATGGATTTTTATTAACGTTCAGTCCTTAATTGGACGTCAATATTTCCTATTAAATTTTCTGCTGTACCAGCAGCAATTTTTCAACCGAATTTTACTGCAGTTTGCTTCGTTTTGTTCCGTGTAAATACGCAACAATTTCCATCAATGGACTTTTATCAAGGAAAATTTGTATTCGCGTTCTAAGAATAAATTTTTACATAAGTGCAAAAATAGACATTTTGATCATACTACCTACCTAAATGTATTTAAAGTGTATTTATTAATTTATAATGTATAAGTAGTGTATCATAGACTCATTTCCTTTTACGGGGTATCAAGAAACAATTGAGATTTTTGTATTTCCCTAAACATAGTTTTAAACTTAGACTTTGTAGTGAAACCAGTGTTTTGCGAACAAGGTGAGTTAACAAACTAAACTGTTCTGATTTCTTAGATGTAGGTGTCCTAAAAGTGGTCAGTAAATCTAACGCATTTTCTTTTAGTATTAGCCATTGATTTCTCTCTCACTAGTCTTTAATAATTGGAGTAATTTTCATTATTTATACTAGTGAATATTTTTAAACACACTGCTTCAAAAACAATGTTTTAAACAGGGTCCAGTTGCTATTAAATAAACTAATTTTACTTCAGTGATTCATGTAAATTAGGGGAATTATTAAACATCGTAAATACTACCCATATATCGTGTTGGAATCGATACTGATTTGAAATGTTTCATGTACTTAGTCTGACAGTAATAGCCAAAACAAACAAATAGGAATATAAAACGTTTTTTTATTATTGTTTCTCAGTTGTTACTTGGAAAATGTACTAGAAATGTTTTTATTTTTTTAAATAATGGCCTAGTTGTGAGATATTTAGGAATAGTAGTAGTTCAAGGTATTGTTTTCCTTAGACACTCTTCGAGATGGGGCTTAATGTAGAGACATGATCAAATTTCAGTCTGATTGTAGGTATTGCATTTTAAAAAAATCTTCAATATCCATAGTAAATTTTATATTTATGTAATAAGACTTACTTTCAAAGTAAATAATGTTCAAAATAAAACATTTCAAGGTTTGGACATTTCACTGATTCAATAATAATATCATAAAAATTATAATCAAAGTGCATACTATTAGTAGTTGGAATCGAATGATCCATAAATTCCTTACATGAAACAAATATTCTAGAGAATAATATTCCTATTTGGATACGTTCTGTCAATTACTGCATAAATGATGTGCTTCAATAATTTTTTTGTTAATGATCTGGTAAATAATGTTTATGATAACATAAAAAAAATACTTTTTGGAGCACTTTACATTAATACCATTTCACATTGAATTGTTACATATAGATAATTCAATAAAAATATTCTCATGATTTGCAATCATTGGAAACCTTTTCGTTACTTTTGTGAATAAAACTAAACAATTAATTCATCTCATTAGCGCCAATATGTGTAGTGTTTGAACTGCTAGAGTGCACAATTGATCTGATTACAACATTTGCCCATTTAAAACCATCTTGTCCTATAAGTTAATCAAACTCTACACATAGCAACCATTTTCCTTTTGTATATACTTTATGCGCGATTATAGTGTTTTTAGATGTTTTTTTTTTGTAATAAAACGTTGAAAGTATTATTTTAGTTGATTTTTATGTTCGTTACTGGAAGTAATTCTACAAAATAAGTTAATTCTAGTCAAAACATTGCATACATTTTACCGTAATAAAAAATAAAGTATTTTAGTCCAAAATTGTAATTGTGTTTTAAACTGTACAGATTCACACAAATATTCCACTAAACCTCACGTTTTGGTATTGGAATAAATAAATGATGGTCGTTCTATAAGAACTAAAAGTTTAATTTCGAATGCATATGGTTTATAACAAAATATTACTTATATAAATTGTAAATAGTATCACATGGATTAAACGTTTTCACTCCTCTGTCGAACGTTCTATAATGATATTTTTTTTCGTTATCTTCTCTTACGACCGTCATAACACCAGTAATATCAGTACTTTTACCAGTTTTGAGTGCCGAAACACATATAAAAACATCACACACATATTGAATGCTATTAGCTAGTATTAAGTCGCTTTTTGACTCGACATGCGAATTTATCACAGTATGAACGTTATCTTTACTGGTTAGATTTATACATCGATTTACAAAGCCAATGATAGGGCCCAGTTCAACGCCTAAATCTAGAAAATGGCTCGCATCATCTATAACGATGTATACCGGCTGGTTGTTCGTTGAAATGAAATGTTCTATCTGTTTTTCCATTGTGTTGTAAACACATTTGATGATTTGGCTTCTTTCATCGTGAATGTTGTCCTAACAAAACAGATATTACCGAACAAATTCATATTGCGACTATTTTGTCTAATTGAAATTTTATTCGAGGATATTCTGCATATCATCGCAAATATTTAAGCAATTTCGTTCTCGCATAAACTTAGGTACTACAGTAGAATAAAGTTCCCCTTTGCAACCAGGCACTTACCTCAATTTCTCTGTCGATGTACTCCACCATCTCTTCCATTAGATCAATAATCTTTAAATCTCCTTTTCCTTCAGCTTCCCTTAAATCATACCCGAGTATTTTGCCAATCGTCTGATAGTGGTTGAAATTGTTGTGCAAAGTCAACAAACAAATTCTACTTTTTTGATGCAGCAGTTGCTTGAACAAGTGCGTGATAATAAAATTGGAATCTGCCAAGGAATTTTCTCTAATGAAGATTATTTTGTCTTCGGATTTTATTTTCAACGATGATAGCACTGGATTGGTCACGCTTGGATCACTTAAGAAGGTCATTCTGGAAGATGTCTATCTGCACCTGGAAAGAAGCATAAAACATAAATATACTCAGCTCGAAAGAAAATGTTCGAATTGATTAATTGAAAAGCTTTAAATGGTGAACAGTTCCTTGTTGCAACTAAATTCGTAAATCGTATCTGTATCTCATTTAAGATGCACGCAAATAACATTTTATGTTGCCTAGTTTACTAAATATTTTCATACAAGAATGCCAGCACGTCTAACTTCTCGTAGATACTAACACTTATGTTCTAATTTTTATCAATTATATACAGGATGTCCCGAAACTGCTGTTAACAATAGGGCGTACAACTACTTAAAATAAATCCGTTGATTTAGCCACCAAATAAAAAGTACTGGAAGCGTGTGAACTCGGTTGCATCATCAAAATATTAGTTTTGCATAAGAACAAATTTACAGCGAGTCTGATTAAAGTACATTGTATTTATCTCGCTATTTGAAAAACATACGGCTTTTTAAGAACTTTGACCATCAATAGCAGAGAAGTAATATCTTTTTTCCGAATAAAAATTAGGACAGTTCGCCTTCTTTTGAGCCAAATAGTGTCGCAGTACTTTTTTGATCATGTGCTTATACAGGCTATACCTTTTATTTGCTATTGTGATACATGAGTATGTATAGCTTTGATATAAGATAAGTATACAGGGTGTCGCAATAAGGATGGTAAGCGGCTGTATCTTGGAAAGTGTGTGTTGTAGAGTGATCGAAAAAAAAATTGATAACAAACTTGACGAAAAGAATCTGCTGGAATTTTTTTTGAAATATCTCAGATAACCACTAGATGGCATAATTCTAAACGGTATTTTAAAAAGTCGATTTTATACAGAAATTGTCCCCATAAGTGAAACATCTAGTAAGTTTAGTCAAAAGATCATAAAAAACCGTACTACTTTCCTTATGAACATTTTTCCTAACTTGTCAAATAAAGCGATGGGGGAGTCAAACCGCTTAATTCAAAGAAACCTGTAACTCCAAAACGGCTTGACCGATTTCAAAGTTTTTAATATCAATTGAAAGAGCAAGAAAAACTCTACAATATATGATATAAAAGCAATCTTAATCATTTTCGAAAAATCCGTTGTTCGAAAAAATTTCTTTGCATTAATTTTTCACAAAAATTTCAAATACTTCCATCAAGTTATTTTACACACATTCAAAAGCACAGGAAAAAATGAACTAAACCGCAAAAACCGAATCTTAATTGAATCGATTTATACTTGAAAATAATAAACGTTGCCTAATTCAAATAATTAAAAAAATAAAAAATAAAAATCTTTATTGCGACACCCTGTATATGATATTTCATATACAGGGTGTTTGGTAAGTAGATGTATTTTTTGCAGGGGGTGATAGTTGCAAGTAATTTTGGATATATTTCGTTAAGACACCGTGCTCCGTAGACGCTTAGTTTCCGATCTACAGGGTGATAAAGTTTTAATTAAAAAAAACGTTACTTATTGCGCAAACCGCTTGGAATATTTTATCGAAATTTTACAGGCTTAGGCTCTTAACAACATACATGTTTTGTCATAAAAATTTTGTTTTTACCTTTCCCAAGGACGTGCGCACAAGCACGACTAAATAATTTTAAATAAAAAAAATGTGACGCATGACGATTTTGTAAGCAATAAACCTGATGGTTCAAATTCCTGTCCAATTTGGAAGAGAAAACATCTCTTGACTTTTTTTCTACGACACCCCGTGTTCGAGTAAATAAATTGAAACAGATTTATTGTATAGGTTAATCGGGTTGTAATTAAAAACGATATTAAACGTAAACACGGTGCGGTAAAAGGCAAGACCTTTTCTCTTCCAAATTGAACAAGAACTTGAAAAATAGTATTTATTTTTAGAAAAATCAGTGGCGTAACATTTTTTTATTTAAAATTATCTACAGACGTGCCTGTGCCCACGCCACTGGCGAAGCTAAAAACAAATTTTTTATCATGAAACATGTATTGCTGTTAAGTGCCTAAATCTGTAAAATTTCATTAAAATATTCCAAGGGGTTTCTGCAATATTAAAAATATTTTTTTTAGTTAATACTTACGTATACTATACGTTAACACGCTGTAGATCGGAGACTAAGAGTTTTCGGAATATGGTCTATTAAAGAAATATATCCAAAAATATGTGCACTATCACCTCCTACAAGGAATGCATCTACTTATCAAACACCCTGTATACAAGTATTTTGTAGTATGTAATAGAATATTTCTTGTTTTGCATTATTTGCACAGGCGCACCGCAAACATTTGCTATTAATAGAGCAGAAAAACAATTACAATTTGTTTAAAGGCAAATATGATTAAAAATTGTGTTCAAAACAAAAATAGCCCGTAAGAACGAGAATATGGGACTAATTAAGAGAAAATTCGTTAAATGGGAAAAATCGAGTAATTAAAAAAACGGTTTCCAAATTCAAATGCGAGTTTTCCATTCATTCCCTAACATTATTTAGTTCATGTAGTATGTAAAACATTAGATTAGTTAATACAGGACGAGACTAATTAAAATTTTAATAATAAAAGCCATCACTGTTTTTTCCAAGTGAATATGCAAGAAAAACTCTTAACATCGCACTTATGATATAAAATAGGTATAAAAGTGAAAAGCTCATAAAGGCGATACTTATTTATAAAATTCTGAATGCGTCCCTGATGTTATTATACATATATTCAAAAGTAACCTTTGGAAATGAAAATGTGATAAACAAAATATGGGGACTCGGAGTCATTTTAAAGTCGGGCTGACAACTCGGTCAAGCACAGGTCAATTATGACGGGGCATTAATTAATGGCATTTCGAATTAGTTGTGTGTGATGTTCGGATCAATTTACTGAAATGTTCCAGCTTCGGCTCAAACTTTCGAAGCTGATCTCTATTGGTTCCGGTGTAGTCCAGGAAAATCGATACACCGAATGAAAATTCGCGCAACTCAAGGTAAAAACGACTTGGAGCTTTAGTTTCGATAAAAACAAGTTAGGAATTCCGAAAAACGCGTTGCAACCTTGAGCGAATCATTCAAATTGGCTCTAGATTATCAAGGCAATATCAAAAACAAGTTTAATGATTTCGAAACGGTGACCTTTCCTACGGGTCAAATTTACAACGACTTACCTGCCCCGGTTTGATGTAAAACGAAGGAAATACTAATTGCTGCGGTAAGTCATCGAAAAACTGCAGGTTTATATAAGGAAATCACATTTCAGTGTTTATAACCTGAAAATTTTGGGCAGATCCCGCGGCATGATGTCAAGTTGCACTAAAATATTTAATTTGCCTTTAAATTTCGACATTTTTCAATCAAAATTTTGCTAATTCGAAACCTGCCCTTGAAGTATTTGCTTGTGAATCCACATGAATCAAGATTTAACTCAAGAAAGTCACATAATATTTAAATAAAACATAGAAATTCAGTTAACTTCTAATCGGTTTTGAATCAACTTGGCAATGATGCAAATTACGTCACACAAGGCCTACAAAAATGCAGGCTCAATCGAATACAGGGTCCTGTTGAAAAGTTTTAGTATATACGTACCGGGTGTCCCAGAATATTGGTATCAAACTCGACCACAGATTTCAAAGCTCGAAATGCGATGATTGAACGCAACTTGCCTTATCTGGAAAGTTGACGATTTTTGAATTACAGTGGTTTAAATTTTACTTTTAGTTAAGTAATCTCAGGAGTTTAACAAATTTTTGTATTTGGGAGATTTGATTTTTAAGCAGAAAAACTCTGGTTACGTCTAATCATCAATGTATAAATAATTAATTGTCCTTCATAAAATATCGAAATTGAGCAAACTTAAGGGCGTTCCATTGTATTTGTTGTGCGTGGAACAACTAATTTTATGGCATTTTTAATACACGATCATCAAAAATAGTCAGTGGACGAAAAATGGTCAGAGAAATCTTATCTGTTGGACGCAAAAACGCACAAGAACAAGTCAAATATTTCTGAAACTGTTCGGAAATCGGGTGTCCTGAATTGCAATTGACTCACATATTCAGTATCTAAAACTAAACTTTAAGTTATTATTTTAAATGTTTTTATTTAATTATTTTTTTTATCAAATTTTAATTTTATTTGATTGATTGAAGTTATGGCTATTGATAAATTTCAAATATTTTAACCGATTCCATTGAAACTAATAAAGTTGTATAAAATGTGTACACAAATATTTATACAAATATTTGTTCAACTAAAAAACTAGAATATTTATATTACATAAACTACAATTTAGAATAAAAGGAAAACAGGCTATCCAACAAATTATAAATAATCTCCGGTAATCGGGTATATTTCAAAATGTATTAAATATTTAAGCTTTTTTAAAGCATAATACTTTCTCCAGTTTTTACAGCGTGTTTAACATTAACTATAATATATAAATAAGTTTTATATCCTAAATCGCTTTATTTCTCATGGGGAGCAATGTTTTTCAAATTGATTTTTTATTAATGCTTTGAAACTGCATTTAACGATTATTTATTTGTTACCTTTTTTTAACTGAAATGTTTTTTCTTAACCGGGAAAACATTACAATCGACTTTGATAAGCGTTTCTCAATTCGTTTCGAGACGTGTTTTTTTTAAGCGCATACGTTATGTTTCAACAATCAAAGTGTGAGCTCGATTTATGATTGATGTTAGTATGATTTAACAACTATTTTAAAAGCTGGCTTATGGATGTAAATGCCGTTAAATGTGCCCAACCTCAGCAAGTATTTATTTTGTAAATTCTTAACAATACATAAAATCATATAATTTAGTTTTGTAGATTAAATTGGGACCACACTGTATATTTGCATGTCTTATAAAACACCAGGCAACACACGACGGAATTATTTTAAGCCAGTTTAAAAAATTTTGACCCGGATATAAACCAGATTTGAATAATACTATATATAATACGAGATAAACTGAATAATTCGTTTATCTAATTCGCTACACGTATTTGTACTTATATCAACACACTCCCATTGGTTATTTACAATTAAAACATCCATATTTTCTGTTGCTTTAATAACATTACAACCGATGGTACTTTTCCCCACAATCGTCTCCACGTGTGTAAAATCCTTTTAACACATCACATTTTATTGAAAAATAAACAGTCACTTTATTAACAGTTACCACACTGGAGCAAAAAATGGTTATCTGGTAAATGATAGTAACTACTTTCAGATAATTATTGTATAATAAATCTGAGAAATTTCAACGTATTTCGAGTGAAGGTCAGGCGTAGGGCTTTGGTAAGTCACATATTTCGACTTTTGGCAAGTGCATTTATCTTTTTTCGATTTGCGTGCAGCGGCGTTAAAAAAATTGTTCAGTTTCTCGTTCTAAAAATAACAATCGTGATGTTTCATTTATAAATAATATAATTATTACATGTATGTATACCGCGTATTATAGCCAGCTGAGATTGAATGTAAACAATTTAAAAATGTGTGGTTTTGCATACGAGCTTTGCGTATTCAATGAGTTGCATATTTATGTTACGAAAATTTAGTGGGTTTTTACTGTAGCCGACTTATTTTTCTAACAGTATTTCCAAGACTTCACGAGTTGAGGGAGTTTTTTTTATAGAGAAATACTCAAAAAATCATGACACACAAGGAAAAAAGAGTGGCCAGGTGGTACTTTGGTGGATTATCGTCCGCCTTTGCGGCATGTTGCACCCACCCGCTCGACTTACTCAAAGTGCATCTTCAGACGCAGCAAGAAGCTAAACTGACCCTTGTTAAAATGGCTAAAAACGTCGTTAAAACTCAAGGTAAATTTTACTTTCGCACAATTTTCTAGATAGCATCTCTGTAAATTTAATTATTGTTTTGCAGGTGTTTTGGCTCTCTACAATGGGTTGTCAGCTTCCCTGCTGCGCCAGTTAACTTACTCAACAACGCGATTTGGTATTTACGAAGCAGTGAAACAAAAGTATCAGCCGGACACTTTCGCTTCTAAGGTGGCGCTTGCTGCCGGAGCTGGTAATTTTTTTTACAAATAGTCAAAGCGACAGTACTGAGCTAATATTTTTATCTGTAAAAATATTTCGTGCTTGTTCAGTAAACTTCCAATTAAAATTGGCCATATACATAGACGCGAATAATTAAATAATCAATCATTATTTTTTATCATGTCTATATCGGTGTATCAATTGTAAATCCACCCGCGTTTTACAACAAATTTTCTCGTTTGCAATTAGATTCGATTTTCACCATTTAAACCTTTGTAACATACCCAAATTTTCGGGATTTGTTCAAGATTATCCCATTTTGTAAATAATTTTAAACTGCTTTGAGGTACACGATGTAGAAAATATGCATTTCTCAAAAAGTTCTTTGGAGCTTTGGAACTTGTCTGAAACAGCTTTTAACATATAATATTTCGATCAGTTCCCGACAAATAAAATGTTACACTTAGGGATGGCCTGAAACATTTGGCATTTTGGCTTCGAACTTTGAAACCAATGCTCTGCTTGAAGTGTGTTTAGCAAAATGTAGCTCCTACGAAGCTTTACCAAAATGGCCCAAATGATTATCGCAACATTTTCAATCGTTTCCGAGATATAAGTGAAAAATGTTTCTGCCAAAAATGGACATATCTCTCGAGAGATTAGGAGTTTGGTTGACCCCCAAGAAGGAAAAGTTAGATCTCAAAAGAAATGTGTATTATCACTTGTCCAATATTTTGAACCAAAAATTTTCGAAATGGCCCTTAATTTATCTCGTTGGAGGCTGGTAATTTCTATCGCAAGGTGAAGTCATAGTGTTAGACAAAGGTCATCGAAAAATCTATAAGACTGATCTTTTCTTCATCTTTTTAAAAGTTATAACTACGAATATTCCGCTATTACAATTCAAAATCGTTTTTCAAAAATACCTATACATATACTAATTATAATGTTTTGTCTGGCTTAGGAGCGTGTGGAGGTTTTATTGGAACCCCTGGCGATATGGTGAACGTACGAATGCAGAATGATATTAAACTGCCCAAAGAAAAACGAAGAAAGTAAGTGTTTAAATCACGTCACTTAATCACATCAATATATTAACTTTTAATATATCAAATTATACAGCTACAAACATGCCTTGGATGGATTGGTGCGCGTCTATCAAGAAGAGGGTGTCCGTCGGTTATTTAGCGGTGCTTCCACAGCTACATCCAGAGCGATATTTATGACAATCGGTCAGCTATCGTTCTACGACCAGATCAAACTGCTACTTCTCAAGTCTGACTATTTTGGAGATACTCTGACAACGCACTTTTTATCCAGTCTCTGTGCGGTAGGTTTTGTTTTTATTTATATTTGTTGTATTCTGAGTTCTGATCGCATTTGTTTATAATATTTTTATTAATAGGGTGCAATAGCAACATCGCTCACTCAACCTCTCGATGTGCTAAAAACGCGAGCTATGAGTGCAAAGCCTGGGGAATTTTCCTCGGTTGGTGCCATAATTTTACACACTGCTAAGTTAGGGCCCATGGGCTTCTTTAAGGGTTACGTCCCAGCGTTCGTACGACTTGCTCCTCAGACAATCCTCACATTTGTTTTCCTCGAACAAATGAGGCTGAACTTTGGCTTCTTGCCTCAAGGAAACACTCATCAACTTTAGTAAATGATTGTTAGGACGGAATTTATAAAACATGTTAATAAATTAATTCCCTACTATATTTAGGCCGCAACATCAATGAGATGCTGTTATTTATTAACGTTTGTTGTTAAGTTTATTCGTTTTCATTCCAAAAAATATGCTAACTACAAATCAGTCGATTACGATATAATATTTTCTACTTACTTCTGTTTTGTTGTGGGCGTATGCCATATTTTATGTTTGATACTTATTTCAATCGAAAAATTATTTTTCTTTGTTGTTTTATGTTATACTGATTGTGATAAAGCACAAATGCTTTGAAACTGTGTTTAGTTGGTTCTCTAAATTTGAGATATTTTTCGGAAATAATTGTTATCAAAATGGATTTACTAAGACATAAAACTTTGTTGTTTGTAGAGTAATAAATATGTATAATCCAACTTTCTAAAGAAGGAAATTTAAATATTTCTGAGGCTTTAAAGTTAAAAGCAATCTACACCTGTACATAACTTGCTTTCAAAACTTCCATACTACAAGCTATATTTGAAACAGCAGAGTTTCCTTAAACGTTTGAAACGTTTAGTCCCGTTTCCTAATTCCCATTTATTTTATAGGGAATCTGCGCTATAGCCCTGACTTTACCCATTGACGTAGTTAAAACGCGCATGATGAACTCAAAGCCTGGTGAATTTAGAGGCGTGATTGATTGCATTCGGTAAACTCTACTGCCTAATATGTATATAACAAATCAGCTGTAGTTTTTTAAAATCTAGGTATACGGCGTCTTTAGGTACCTCAGCACTCTACAGAGGATTCGTTCCATCAGCCATCCGAATAGCTCCCATGACTGTTATAGTGTATATTTGTTTCGATCAGCTCACACGAAAGTTCGGTTATATTGTTAGATATAAAAACTATTGAATTACTTGTAAGTACATATTTGCATCGCTTCAGATTATATAGTTGCTTGCTAATAATTTACGATTAAATATCTGCCATACTGCCAAATTAAAGAAGCATTCAAGGTGCATTTAATATGCAATAAAAAAATTAAAAGGTATACTACCTTTTCAATGCTTCTTATCGATCTGACGTTAACAAACCTTTCAAATATATTTCAACATGGGCCGCTGTTGCAACTACATGAATAAGTAAGTGAAATAGTGGGTTATTCTTAAATTTCTCATGCAGTTTTCTTTGTTTCCAGCAGGCCTATCTTATGCCCAGGACTAATTTTATATAGTGTTTTAACGTTTGTTTTCGTCACTATAATTTTAATGATTATTATGCATAATCAATCTGAAAAATACTGGAACCAATAGCAATCACCAGACACTTTATATCATTTATACTTATAAATTGAATGATACTAAATCAATGCAATAATTTTCAGGTAAGGTGTTTTCATAGACTTTTATTATTATAGCGCTGGAAATCAAGTAAATCGAAATATCATTAAAGCCCGAGAAATATTTCAAAACGTTTTCTTTGCCCATGTTAGCAAAATAATTACGTGCCCAATTTGTACGACTTAGCTGCTCGGATTAAAGTACAAAAACAACAAAAAAAAACAATTATAATATATTTGATGTAGATTAACGGTTTCACTAGCTTTTATAAAGTTTCAGTGGGCCTGAAGATTTAGCGATTAAAATAAAGGGCCCCTCATGTCCAGGCGTAAATGTAGACGGAATAATATCTAGAGTACCTGATGGAATATTTCCTAATTCCAGCACTACATATCCGGATCTAGAAACAAAATAAATGTTAACAACAACTAACTGCTAAAGAGCATAAAATTAAAAATTAAACAACATACTTACAGTGGAAAAAATGCAATGGGAATTATACCCAATTTTTAAAATTTAAATTTCCTCTATCGGAAGGATTATATAAAGCACAAGTTTTGCAAAAAAAATGTGTAGGATGTGTTATGTATAAGAAAATAACTAAGAAAAACTCGTATATGAAATTGCACTAAACTTTAAATACTAGAAGAATGCTAGTATTGGCCGACTAGATAAAAGTGTAACAAAAATCAACTTTAACAACGCCTGAGTTTTCTAAAACGGTTATTTTCATGCTTAAACCTGGCCCGCAAATTTTCTTCTGGCGTGCCACTCACATACTCTTTCTAGTCACAACTTTCTGAGAAATATATTTTCCGTGATGCGTACAGATTTTTTCTTTATGAAACAGAACCAATTTTGATATAATCGCAGAACGGTAAAGAGTTTTGTTCGGATTGTAAAAAAAAACATATTAGCAAACATAACTTACCTGTAGGGTCCCGAAGATTTTGATCTAAATGGTGCAGTAACACTTTCATTATTCACTTGCCTAATCACAGCTTCCAAACCAATTTGATACTGCTTAGGACCTTTTAGTTCTAATAAAATCTGATTATTATCTGACCCATCCTCTATCTCCAACCTGAACTTTGGATTGTTCGGGTAAGTTGTCGGGTGATTAGGACATCCTCCCGCTGTAATACCTTTCCACTCTCCAGTAACCTGAAAAATGGAAGTGGTTTTCCTTGGCATTTATTTTAATTTTTTAATAGCTGAAATGCTACAAAGAAACAAATTTCTCTAATACCAACCTGTTTTTCTTGCATATAAGGATTCTTAATTTCATTTAGCCTAAAAGGGCATGTTGCATATGCTCGTAATGTGTAATAAATGGTAGTGCTTTTTTCATATTGCGAAACTACAATGGTATAGTCTCTCCCACTATTGGGCCCCAAAATAATTTTGCACAGGTAATGTGGACTGTTGATTTTAACACCGTCTATATAAGGTGGAGGATCGTCTGAAAAGCATAAACATATTTAATATTTCAAAGGTATTCGACGCAAATCAAGCAGCAAGTTCATGTAAATTCATCTCAGATGTTCTGCGGAAAATTGGCATCAGTTTCAATAAAATCGATTTTATCTGTTGAAATTGTTGTAAAATTACTTACAAGGATAATACACTTTTCGACCATTTTTGTAAATAAAAACAGTGATAAATTCTTGGTTGTTTCGAAAATCCTCAATATCTGTAATGTGTCTACTCAATAATATCCAGATAGCACCTTGCGCTTCTGGACTTACGCTGAGTGAAAATTGTGGATTAGCAGCGACCGTGTAAAGATCTTTCACTGGACCTGTACCAGCATGCCACATTCTAAAACATCAACTTCTGCTCAACACGCCGGTCTATGCTATTCAGTTCAAATACTTACTGATGAATGCAGTATGTGTATTTGAATAACTCCGGATTCCAGTTCATATAAAAAACATCAAAGAATTTTAAAACGCTCTCGTAATCGATCCAAAACACTCCGTTATCAAATTCTGCAGCGCTCTGCGGATCATAATTCAATGTCTGTTGCAATTCCGAAGTCCAGTGCTCTAAATCAAGCTCCGAATAATTTCCCCTCCATCTTAAATGGGACCAAGGATTTTTCAGTTTTAGCAATCGTACCTAGAATAATAAAACCATTCTTCAGAGACAATAACTCTAAGAAATTTAAAGGAAAGCCAGCAGATAAGAGTGACCTATCGAAAATATCGATTTATTGCATTGAATGGTAGTTTAATCTGTATTTGTATCCCGACTACTCAAATGCAATCAACCAGTTTTATACCATACAACTATGCAATCTGTATATAAAACATTTTCCAAAATCCGCACTTAATAAAATTTAAAAATATATATTTCTCGGACTTACCCCATTTACAGTTCTTACATCCATGACTGCATAGGCGTGAGTTGCTACTAATCCACTTCGTTCTGCTTCCAGATCAGAAAGTTCTCCTGTTGCCACAGACACTAAAACATCTCCTTTAGCCATTCTGGCTTCTAAATTGGTAAACAATCCATCTTTGTTAAAGTCAGGATCTGCTAGCCTTATGCCGGCGCGCTCTGGAATCCATCCAGTCAAAGCATGCAAATCGATGTTCTGAAAAAAAGTCAGGAGATTTATTTTCGCTGAACATTAATTGAGTGATCAGGAGCTTACACTGTTGCTTCCTGGGAAATCATAACCCCCCATGACTTTCATATAAGCTTTTTCAAGCAGGGAAATCCAGAATTCGTTTTTGTTGCTGGAATAAGAACACAAAAGTCTTCCGTGCCGGTCGATTGGCAAATGGTCGTCTATTATTACTTTCCTTGGAATGCCGTTAATATGTAACTTTATCATATACTTTCCTAGAATATATAAATTTGCTCTAGTCAATAGGTTTTTTAAAGTATACAGATGATGGAATTCCGCAGGTATCAAAATGTTAAAGAATGTTGCCTTAAGAATAAACTTTCGTCTAATGATTGAAGCAATGCCGTCATTCTTTTCCTTTTGAAATATAGCACATTTTCAACCAGAATTGTGCATGATCTGCTTCTCTAGATCAACGCAAGAGCTGACCACATCATGTTAAAAATGCTGTTATCAATATGGCTAAACTTACCAAATGGATTATAAATCGGTTTTCTATCCTTTGACTGGGGGTAAATGATTGCCGTGACCAATTTTCTCCCAAATCGTGCCTCATAATTCGCGCTCACTGCTAAACTAGCCACTAATGAACAATCGGAAATGACGGTTTGTTTAATGTGTAGATAGTTCGGAACACCGCCATTTACAATAACAGGATCTGGAGATATTTGTTCTAAACGTGCAAATTTTGTGAATTCCTTTCTCTGTTTAGGGGCTAGAGCTAATGGACCATCTTTGTCGGTGAACGGAATGGAATACTGAAATCTGAAAATGTTTGAATAACAGCTTATAATTTAGTTGCAAACGTGCACTGAATACTGAAATGGTTTATGCAACAGTTGAAACAAACATATCATGAATACAGCGTTTTTCAAAAGCGCGGCAAAAACTATATATTAGAATTTTAGAATAATTATTAAAATTGATCCGGATACTTTCCATCTTCTAGTTACGGTTTTTACGAAATATCTCACTTATAAACAAACAACAAAAATAAATATTTGAATTTTTTACATCGACTTTAACGATTTTACGCTGGTTTTCGGTAAATGAACTTGAAGAGCAGCAACTTTCTGTAACTCGCACTATTTATGTCATGCATTAAAAATACCACCGTTTCTTCGAGAAAAGCGAATGATAATAATCCGACTGATTGGTTTGATCATTACGAACTAAAAATTATTGTTTCGATTAACTGGCTCATATTTTTAATATATCCAAATACATATACAAGCGACAGTTTAAAAAATGATTTTAGAGGACTGTTGCTCAAAAAGATCGATTCAAAGAAAATAAGAAATAGTAATCAACTTTTCGAAAAAAGAATCGTGGACCAATATTGTGCCGCATTTATTTACGGTCATGTAATATAAACAAGCCTGACAATTTATCAATGCCATTTATACTTACCTTTCTTTCAAGTCAACACTCATAAAAGGAACAAAATCACGCCCATTTATCTTCGATGTGTGCAAAAGTACTGCCTTTTCTCTATCAGTATATGCTTCGTCTCCGGTAATCTGAAAAGTAATATACAACGTGTTCTCTAAAACCATCCAAGTTAAAGAAGATTTAAGATTATGTAGAATTAACTTTTATCGATCCGTATTCATCCACTTTAAGACTCGTTTTTTCGCTGTGCAGACTTATGAAATACCATATCACAAAACAACATTCTTCTCACCTGCCGCCATTCAATCATTAGGCAACTGATTTTATTAAAATTGATGCATGAAATAAAATATATAATTAATTACTAATACTCTGAGATTCAACAGTTCCTTGGACAATATAACTAGACAGAAAATTAAATTGTTTTAAGAAAACCTAGTTTCACGAGTGTAGAATTATTACTACAATGTAAATTAAGGAAGATATAAGATGGTCGTCGGGAGAAAGGTGATAATTCCTATTTTTATAGCATTGGACTGTCAAGATGTTTGAAAACATCAAGAACCAGAAACAGATTTGGTAAAAGGAAATAATTTATAAACGCTTCACTTTATAACAAGAAACAAAATTGGAAAGGTTCTGACATATTTCTAGGATCCACAAGTGGCAGATAATTAAGGCAGAGTTCACAGGTATTTAAAAATTTAAGATTTAAAAAAATATTGAAGATTAAAAATCCCTTTGATTCAGATATTTTTTGCCTTCAATTTATATTGAATATTTCTAAAACTCAGTTTGATTTGCTTAATTAAAGTGATTTCCTTCATACTGTTATGCCGTACGCTTTTCCTTTTTATCAATTACTTGCTCGGTCCAGACCTATCAGAAATGTATCAGAGGTGTACATTTGAGTCTTAAATAAGAAATTTTGAGCAAATGTTTCATGACTTAATAATAATATTCAAGGACGGTCCTTAGAAAAATTCAGACACGATTGCTCATCATTGAGTGGAGTTGCATTTCCAAGGACCAAATATTAATCTGTTTACTCCCAAGAGGCACCCGCACCGTTACAACTAAATCTGCAAGGTCGCCCTAAATTAATCACTTCCACTTTCTGCCTGTTGTCTTAAAGCAGCTCGTTACGGAAAATCTATAAACGTGTTTAAACTGCAAGGAAAAATTAACGACGGAGTATGTAAAGAGGTCGATAATATTTTTGTCAATTAAATATTCTTATAAAACTAGGTCATATGATTTCATGGGCCAAAACTGAGGAATTTTTGGCAATTGCTTTCTAAAAATTAAATCGCCTTCTAGTGCCTTTTTACATTAAACGAAACAACCACTGGTTCCGACGAAACAAAATTCACAGAAGAATGCCGATTTTTATATACGTATATGAATGGTCCTAGAAAAAATTGGACAATTTTGTTTCATTTAGTTTCACACAGTTCCTACAGAAGAGTGTGAGTTTCAAATGAATCAATAAAACTCTTACCTTTAAATGAGCACTTGCCCCTCTATGTAAAACAGGCGTAGGTGCCGAAGTGGACGTTGTTGGTTTTTGATTAGTAATATTTGGATTATTTATCGTTGGGCCCTTTGGAATAGGAGCTAAAGGTTCAGGTGCTACACTAACACCTGATGTATCGGCTGAATCTCTTTTTATTCCTGTAAATAAAACTGACGATGAAGCAAAAATGAAATATAAAAGTTAGTTTAAAATTACGGAATACTTATAAAACTCCTACCTTTCAAAGTTTCTGCCCTTTCTAACGCTTGTAAAGCGATAGTTTTCAACTCTCCTTGCAATATATCGGGATAGCTCGTTGCATATTCAACTGCCTTTGCATATAACTCGATAGCATCCAACTTATCTCCATGTTCATCTTCCTCGATAGCTTGTTGCATTAAAAAATAGCATCTCTTTATCACAGTTTTTCTCTGAATTTCCTTGGCATTTTCTGGTGAACTAGAAGCAATTGAGGAACATTGCAATCATGCAGTGTTGACTATGTAATATACTAATGGTTTTAGGTTTTCATACGTACTCTTGCACTTCTTGCTTTGCGCCAGCCAGCAAAACTTCGGCTCTGGCTTCATATTCATTACTTTTCTTCTTTAACGATTCACTTCTTTCATCACTCACACTTTGGGCCGCCTGATCAAGCCATTTGGCAGCAATTTTATAATAATAAGCAGAGGGACTTCCCTGACCTTCTTCATCAAATTTTATTGCCAGTTTGGCTGCATCTATTGCGTCGTTAATAAGTTGGTCCTCGTTGGGCATACTTTTCAACTTATGTACTTCTATATTTTACTGTTGCAAAGTGCCTTGAGAGCATGTAAAATTTCTCCTACACTGATACGCCACAATATCGAGAACTTAAATTGCAATCGCTTTTGAGAGATAAATAATGAATCATCATTGCTCATGTGGGTTAATTGTTTCTAAATTGTTGATCTCGCCATTTACGATTTGCATAGTAAACCACCAACAGCGTTGATACCTGAACTACAAGGTAGAGTTAGTAAATCGAGTTTGCAATTAAATTGTTCTAGTTTACAATAGTTTTATTTGTTTATTTGGATTTGAACCAAACATAGGTTAGATATCAGGAAACGTCACGAATGTCTACCACAAAATATCCCCCCTGGGAGTATGTTCTGTGATGTCTACTTACTGAACGGGACTCCGTGCGCGTAGTTCGTTCCGTAATTTTATTATCAGATCGGCGGATATGACGCCAGTCACGATCTTCTATTTCAATTTCTGGCTCATAACGGTTTCTTGTCATTTGTTTCGTAATACGATTGCTTTTGAGTATTTACTCTCTGAGCTTCCTGAACATTCAAACAGTTTGGGAGCGAAATGTTACATAGATACCATCAACCTGCAATTTTTTTACGGTAAAAAGACAATATTTGCCTTGACAAAGGTGGCACGAAAACTGAAAATTCAAGAGGACGCATCCAAAATAACCGGTAAAGAGATAGAAGCATATATCTAATTAGAAAGCTTTGATTTTTAAAGCTTTAAGACAACCAATATCTTAGGTACAGTTGGAAATACCCAATGAGTAGGCCGTTCCATTCTTTCGAAAGCTCATCTTGGTACCTTTATTTCTCTAAGAATTTAATCGATACTTTCAAACCTCTAAAAAGTTAAAAAAAACGCAGAACTTTAAAGAATAGAATAACTTCACTAGGCGTGTTTAGAAATAAACTGAAACTTCCTGAAAACATGGCCAGTATAATTAACCGTTTTTAAAAAACGTGGTATGAAATTAAGTGTTACTATTTGAAATCGACAAATTAATTTTAATGCACATTTTTACGCCATCAATTATTGAAGCTACTTAATGAGTGGCAAAAAAAATTTCAAGAGTCAGATTTTGAGGCTGAAGGCTACTATTGTGCCCTTATCTTCTACCACACTGAATTTGAAAGCAGATTTCGAGAGGTCGATGATAATTTTCACACAAATTTAATTCAAATTTTTTCATTTTATCCGATAAAAAAGAAAAATTTTTTCCAAATAAAAGGTACATAGAAGTTAGGGGCAATCATTTCAAGTTATTTGCTCAGGATTGATTTCTTTCAACTTTCGCTTGTTAATAGTAAAATTTTTTTTAAATTTTTAATTCGTTACTCGTGTTATTCTTCATTTTTTTTCAACAGATCTATTTAGCCAAAAGCACGTTTTGTGCTTTCATTTCAAAAGTACTTTTTTGAGTAAAAAAACATTGATCTTTCGAAATCTGCTTTGAACAATCAAACACTTTGATTTTGTAATCTACAGGAGCTTCGCTGAGCATCCAATAGAATACTCTCAGTATATTACTCTGTATATTTATTGAGAAGAAAGGACTGGAAATGGATCTGGAATTTCTTCAGCGTCACAATTTCCATCTAAATAATGGTATTTTCCCGAATTCTTAATAGACGTAAAGTTGAAATTATCCCATATAGGCCATTTGGGCCACAAAGCTCGCTAAAAATGATTCCAGCTAACTTTGACTATGTTGAGGCAGCCCACGGTTAATGCAGAGGCAACAATTAATATTTAATCACTTTTAGAGTGCCTCAATTAAGGGATTAAAAGAGACGTAAACTGCGGCCTCCAAATAGCACATTCAATTGATTTTTGTTTATTAGGAATGCCTTTATGTGGTCATAATATCATTCATCCACACCTACGAATTTATTTTAAGAATTTCCCTAGAATGTGCAATCAAATTTCATTTTGGAGAAGCAAAAACAGTTCTGGGCGTAATCACTGAATATTCGGAGTATTGTTTGTAAATCCTTTGACATATATTATATTTTAGGCCTCTTTTTGTCTGCAGAAACGTTAAAACTTAACTATTCCAAGCAATATAATTTTCAAAATCGTAAAGTGTAGTATAGAAAACTGCATTTAATTTGGTCGTAATAGCCAAATAAATTTCAGTATCGCAATAAAATATATTATGGCATAAACCGTTCTAAGTGCCAATAACATCAAATCGCCAGTATGTAATGATACCGAATTAATAAATAATTAAATTACTCGATTAATCCTCCTATGAATTGCTCTACAAGTGGCTGTTTACGAGCAAAACTCCCTTCTATAAGTGGTTTCCTGAAGTTTTCCTGAAAGTTGCGCGTCCTCCTGTTGCGTAGTCGGCGCGACCGTTTAAAAGCTCAACTTTGGATGTTGGAAGTACAGTATATATTGTTGACGTTTTGCCTTATCCAGAAAAGAACTCTTTGAAACAGATCTTCAGTTTGTTAGTCATCGTCAGAGTTTTGCGCCTCTATTATTAAACCTAGCATCATTTAGTTTTGAGAATTTTGCAGATTTGTAAGGTTTCAAAGCGAACGTGTGTACTTGAGTGCGTGTGATATTAACATATTGTTTTCGTCTGAAATAGTGGTAAGTATATAATCATAAATATCTAAGTAAATAAAACCAAATACAGATTTCAATTCAGAATTAAATTCAATAACCAATGTAAAACGCGTTTTAGAAAAATTACATCCAGCTAAATTTCACGCCGTCATGTATAAAATAAAAAATGTTTTATGCAATTTGTTTAGTAGATTGAAGGCTTTGGCTTAAATAAGCTCACATAAGAATTTGAAAAGTCTTCTATTTAATACGGCATCAATTTTTTACTTTTCTTAAATTAAGAAATGATAACGGTTTATTTTTGTGGTTTTATGCTAAGTGATGCTGAAGGTTTTATGCTAGAAAATAATCGCTGCAAACGCAGTTAAGAGCAATTTGTACAACTTCATTTAATCAGCTCAAATGCAAAAGAACATTTTGAAGTTCTCTAGATGCCTTTATTTTTTGAATTGAAACTATTCCCACTTCCAATGATTTATTGTTAACATCATTTATTAAAAGTTGAAACGGTGAATTTTTCATTGTCATTGTTGATTAATGACAAAATGGCTATTAGAAAAAAATGTGTGATAAGTTCCAATAAATTGCTAATTTATTTAATTTGATTGCGTTTTGACCGAGAAACATTTGCAGGCTTCTATGCTGTGAGTAATTATTTAACTATTTCATAATAGTTAATGCTTTAGCTTCGTTCCTTTAGAAACCCAACAAAGTACGATTTTATTATTAAATAGGGGGAATTATGGGTTTTAATGATTTAACAAGGTCACTTAAGACTCACTAAGAAACTGACAATTTTCAGGTTCAAAAATATTTAGAAAACACTAGTTATTTTTGCTGTATAAATTGGATATGTTAAATTATTTCCAATTTTTTCCAGAATACCCCATAATGCTCCACTGATTCGTCGTTTCGACGTTGCCCTTTACAATGCATATGGCCATAGTTTTAGTTGCATTTCACTGTCTGATATCTACGTCGCCCCTGAAGGAGGTCAGTGCGATTCCAATCAAAACATCTCAACTTATGGAGAAACGCAGCGCAATTCCCGACAGGATAAACGAAGATTATCCGGAATACCCGTTGGGATTGCGATACGACGAATATCCGGTGAGTTTAACCTGGTGATTGACTGAAATCCGCTGATTTTTAATCACGTATTTAATAATGTGTTGGTGCAGTTGTTTGTTTGAATTATAATTACCATTTGCAACCGACATATTTTCAAAGATGCGAGTTGCCACATACACTTTGTTCAATTACACTAAAAATTAAGAAGCCAGCCTTTTTACCAGATATCTTTAACTATTGGCTATTGGCAGGGTGATATCAAGTGCGTAATTGTGACATGAGCAAAATATGTTTTTCTTTTACGCTACTACAAGAATTCAATATAGCAAAAATGATTGTTTCCTTGGGCTTTCTTCGAATATATTTGATCGATCCTTCGGTCCATCGTCTATTTATTTTGACATTTTAGTGGCATTAATAAAAATAACATTCTTTAAAACATCGCAGTTACTTCGGCTAAACAGAAACGAATTTCAAATTGAAAAATATGTAATTTCATTTTGCTATCAACACTTGGAAAGCTGCTGGCAGCTTAAGAAATAACATGTTTTCTATTTACTTTATATCCCCTTTTTATTTGCGCCACATTCTATGAATTAATTTTAATACGCTTTACTCATAGCTACGACATAAAGGTGAAATTTATAAAATTTTATGATTCATACCATTTCTTACCAGCAAATTGTTTAACTTAATTCAATATTTGATGTATAGTTGAATGAATATCGCACACATATTTACAACACGCTTTGATTATGAACCAGTTATACAGACTTTTCCAAATTATTAGATGTCTATTGGCACAAACTGAAAACTGGATTTTCTGTTCTTTTTCTTGGCTTACAAGACTGTTTATTTTACAAATAAATTTCAATTGACTATCGATAAATTGAACAGTATACAAACGCGTTATTTCAGGCTGAAATCGGCGAAGTAATGTGGTATCAATGGCTTATCCGCTATCACTTCATTTTAACATGTGCACTGTCGCTGTTGCGAAAATAATTTCAAACGGATTTGGTAGCAAGTCTTTAATTCTGCAATCAGTCTATAAGAGAGACTCCTAGTGGTTGCATTCAAAATTTCTCTTTTGAAAAGACCCACGCGAAGACTTTTTTAATGGAAACGTTTTCAACATCAATACAATTAAGCTAGCTACCTAAAAATACCATTAAATAAAAATAAGACACTGCGTTACAGTAAAAACATCTTCTGTCTTCACTCGTAAGCCGTCGCTTTTAATTAATTAAAACTGAAAACAATTTGAGACCGTAATGATAAACAAGATAATTCACTCAAAATTTCCTTTTGCATTTCTTATGCAAATATTTACGTATAGCCGAAAAACATTCCGCTTATCAATGTATACCTTAAGTGAGTCTTCAGCTTCGCTAGATACGCAACATGTGTCAATTAATTTTTCATATACGCCTGCACATTTCCCTAAATCACGTGTATAGGATGGGGAAAAGACTATTCGAGAACGATTTGTCACATCTTCTATTTGGGCGAATTGATGATATTGTTGGGTCTTCGAACTGCGCGGAATGATTGATGATGGGCTTCAATACATCACTTATGATGCCTGATCCGAAAGAAGTTGCATGGATCATGGCATATACGCAGATAAAGCGAATTTTACAGGGGGTGTTTTTCATATTTTGCCGAATAACAGAACGTGTCATTACAGATGTAGATGAAGTGGGCGCTTTTTTGCTTCATTTCTTCCGTTCAGCAATGACAAATTGTCCATAAAACAGTTTGAACCTGCACATTTAGATTTTCTTGCTTAAATCAAGAACATCCTTACGCAAATATTATGCTGTTTTCAACAGGTCGCAGAAAACCTGTCTAGCGCTTAAGAAATATTATTCCCGTTATTACCGTTTCAATTCCCTTATTTGTTTGCTCTGTCTTTATTTTTCTATCAATTATTAATCCGTTCGCATTAATCTTAACTTTTTTATGCATCGCGCAGATCAACCCTTGTTACCATTTGTTAGATTTATGTTACAGAAACCATTCGACGCCAAGTCGATTGATCTACCAAAATGGTGTTGTGGGTAGAAAAAACAAGAAACACAGTCATGAAAGTTATCTTCAAAGCGATTAAACATAATTTTACTAAACATTCTCACATGCAACTTACCGCATATATAAGATGCCATTTCAGAACCGATCTATATCGTTGCCAACCTAGAAGAGAATGAAACATTAGTTTTCATTGGATTTGATTTATGTTGCTTTGAACATGTTCCATGACTTAGCAAGATATTTTAGGATTCCCTAAAATTGCCTCGCTTGGTATTAATTCCTAATATTTATTTTCATTTAAAATACAGCTTTTATATTTGGATATTAGATTTATCTTCTTTCAAATGTTACATTCACATGTTTAACCGTTTAATTTTTTTCTCAAATTGTCATGATTTATGTAGTCAAGAATTCAATTTTAAACAAACTTTTTGTAATAAACAGATTTGTAAAAATATTACGGTTCTCCTTCAATACATCGCCGTATTATTTACGATTTGTAAATAATTCCTACAAACACATATTATGAGTTAATTCATGCAAAGCTGATAACCCTAAATCCTCAAAGCGTGTATGTCTCTTATATATATATATATATATGTCTTATGTACATCTTTGGCACAATTTTTAAGATTCACTTCTGCCGCGACCGATCTATTAAAATGGTTATTTTTTAATTGTATTTGCTAAATAGTGTCTATAAAAGCCATTACGCAGAAGAACGTTATCAATCGTAAAAATTTCATTAGCATTCTTAGAAAGTTGTATTGGATTTTTTACGCATAATATTTATAAACAGGCAACATCACAGATTGTTTATAAATATTATGTGTAAAAATAACGTGAATATTGACAATTGTTTCTGATTAAACCTTTTATGAGAAGTTAATTCATTTTGACAAAGGGCAATTTATAAAGCCGCCAACGAGGCGTAAAAAAAATTAATATTTTAAATATTTAATAGTAAAGCAATTTAAAAAATATCCGGTTTATATTGTATGTGCATCTGTCTCAAGCTCAAACACAATATGTATATATAGTAAACATACATAATACAAATAAAGCATTAAATCAATGGGCCAGGTTTTGCTGCCATCATATCCATATTAATCACTTCCTAAATGCAATTTGTCACTAGCTAAAATATATCTGTTGCTAAGTACTATCTAAGTACATTGTTGGTACTTGATCACAGCAATTCCATAAGTGCTAAAATGCAGCTGTTGTGGAAAAGCTGTGTTTAAGTGCATTATTTACGTGCTTCTGAGTTATGACCGGCGACTGTGAGTTAATCAGCACTTTGTCGCAATGCGTGCTATCATCAAACTAAATAGATACTTTCCACATTAAAAAGTCTTAAAATTATTTTCTGATATATTTTCGATAAACTTCATAACTGAACTTTTCGGTGCTTAATATTTAATAGGTTTTCCAGACCTGAAGAAAATTGTATCTTGGTTCATATTCGACTCTACTACACCTGTTAAACGTTATTTCAAATTTAAACGGTTAATTCGGGATTCGCTTGATGAAAGCAATAGACGATATTTTCATAGATTTTTAATACATTTCGATCGCACACAGTAACAAAATAGCTGCGTTGCCAACGCAAAATCGCCTTTTGTCATGGAAATAAGTATTCCACACCAAAGCGCCATCATTAATACGAATTCTCTTCAGATGTCATGATTTTTCATCGATAAAAGCCGTAAACAAGATCCCGACTCGATAATAGACTGAGGATGCATTCGCAGTAACTTCTCTTCGCTATTTTATCGATTAATTTTTTTTATGTTTTCTTAGCTTCTTTTCTGGTTTGTAGTTTTCTTAATTGCTTTGATATAAATTTGATATGACAAATTAATAGCAACTGTATCTTAAGAATAACTTAAGAATAATACTTTTAACGCATTTTCAGAACAAAATGTGCTCAAAACACAAAATTACGTCAAAAACAAATTTGCTTTTGGTATATCGTATACCCGCTAAAGTTAACTACGCAATTTAAAATATTCCGTGATGTTTATACTTCTGAAATAATACTGTCATTTCGTAATTTCGTAAGAAGTACAAGTGCTTAACTACAGTTAAATGCTTGTAATTCTCAATACCTAGAAGAAAGACGAAAAACTGATTAAACAAATAAATTTGAATATTCAATCTTTTGAATTAAAATATGACTGTCCCTTGAGTTTGTTGTCACATACAGATATTTGCGTAAAATACGGACAAATGTGTAAAACCATTGCCGTTAGATTTTTAAATGTGGTGGCTTGTATTTCTTGAATGAATTATTAATATGACTATATCTCAATATCTCAAAACATCTTTAATATTTGAATTTTTCTAGATTTTAAATGGGCGTCGTTTATATATTGTCAGAGATGAAAATATTTTGGAGACACCTTGAAAAATATTCTTAATTTGTGTGTGTCTCTAATCTCTATTTTATTTCCTTTTTATTAATTTACATAACGGGTAGTTAAATTTTTCAACAACTTTTTAAAAAGTGATTTTGCACTTTTATTTTAATTCATAATAAAAAGTGGATATTCTAAAATAATTGGTATACAAATTTGTTATTATATCCTTGATAAGTTTTTGCTTGCCCTTATTCAGAATGTAAGTGTAAATATTTCAAGGATAAACGATAAAAAATGCATTTAATTTGATGTTTGAGTTTTATATTTATATCAAATCGGTGAATCAATAGTCGCTGAAAGTAAACAATTTTTATCTCAAAATATCCTTTTTTCCTTCCAGTTGTTAAAAGCAGCCAATTTGTACCAATCTCATATTTCACATTTCCAAATATCTAGAATTAAGCCGGAAAGCGTAATGGTTCAACGGAATTTTAGGGTTCAATATACTGTAGATTACTTGATTTTGCCTGTTCGCTCTGTCGGTTTACGTGTTTCTACTATGTAGAAATATGTAGTCTTAAAAAACGTGAAGCAGATTCAAAGCACTTTGAAGTTCGTTTTATATGTGAGAAACAAGTTTTG